GATGATGATGATGATGGTGATGATGATGATGACGACGACAGTAATGATGATGTTGTCGCTCATTTTTCTCTTCATATATCTGACAACAGTGAATCAACTGAGGCGTCTTATTCGGAATTACAAGGAAGAAAATAAAAAAAACTTCAAAATTACATTACAGTTTTTTTAGAAGTACAAAATTGTAGCTGTGACTGATGTATTTTTGACATCTGTTTTAAAATATTAACGGATTGTTAAAAGGAGTAAACAGCAAAGATTTATGCTATACTCAGATAAAATTAAGAAAAAGGTGAGTGATAATCAGAGTTGTTATTGCTATCACAATAACGTCATTAGTGACAGCTGTAACAGTTGTCATTATCACGAAATTTTTATGCTTCGCCAACTTCATGCTTTTCGTCTTGACCATTTTCTGGCTATTACATTTTCTTGTTGTTGTTTATTTATTTATTTGTTAAAAAAATTGAAGAATTGATAGAAAAGTTTGAGAAAGGTAGAGTGAGAAAAAAAAATACGAGAGTGTTATTTTGAAATGATCAACTGACTGACTATCTATAAACGGAGCAGCATTTATATACGTGTGCATATACATACGTTTAAAGGCTAATTTTATACATAGCATAGTTCAGGTAGCAGTTATACTCAGCAACAACTGCGACAAAATCGACGACAACAGTGACAGTAATAGTGGAGACAAAAAAAGATAAAAAAAAAACAACGACATTCTAACCATAATTTTTTCGTAACAGTTGTTGATATGCTGTTATTAAGCATGATCTGTATTCCGTATTATACTTCTTCTGATTTTTATTTGGAGAGGTAGGGAGGGAGGAATTTGAAGGGAAATATTACACCAATTTATGCATTTTTTCTTAAAAAGAAAAATAAACTTTGATTGAAATCAGAACAGTTTTTTTTTCGGCTTAGCTATCACTTAAAATAGTTATATTTCAAAAAAAAAAAAAAAAAACCTTCTGTTCCTAACCATTTGCTATTGGTCTCGCCAAAGCTGACAATGTTTTGTTGCCGTTGTTAGATTTTGTTGATGATCTTTTTTTGAATAGCTTCTACTTCTTTCATTGTTCACCATTAATTAGTTCAAGTTTTATTTTTTAGTGGAACATCAGGACAAAACGAGTGAAGGAAATGGGATGAAAGTTGGGTATAAATGATAGGTGATTGGGGATAGGCAAAAAAAAAAAAAAAGAAGGAAATGTCAACGAAAAAATATATGAGCAGTGATGTGTATAAAAGAATACAAAATCTGATAATTATATGATAATCTTTTTTTTTTTTTTAATTTTTTAAACAATAATTATAAAGATATATTAAGTTACAAGCTATTAATGTTTACTATTACTATTTATAAGTAAAACAAGAAAAAAAATTGGGAAAAATTTGACAATTATAGACACCGACACAGACACACAGATACACAGATACACACACTTAGATACGCACAAATACACGGACACAGACAAACACACACACACACACACACACACACACACACA